ACATATTACAGCCCATCTTTTGATACGATGACAGCATATTTTTGACAAGGGTTTTATAGTTGTCAGCTTTTCTATTTCCCAAGAAATTAGTGACCACCAGACGGAAATCATTCCAAGCAGTTATTTCGAATCTGTGGCCCAACAAAAATACCTTCTTTAACCTTTGCCTCACTTAGTCTTGGAAATTTCTGACGCAGGTATTGAAAAGTTGACCCATCTCTATCTAATGCCTTGACAAAGTTTTTCATTAGGCCCAACTTGATATGCAGTGGTGTTAATAAATTTTTTTTCGAATCTATTAATGGCATATGCTGTACATTTTTTTGACCTGGCTCTAGGAATTGACGAACATGCCAGTTTTGTCTGGTGTAATGAAGTGCCTTTGCCCGACTGTCTCATTCGCACAAAAAACAGCAAAACTTTGTGTAGCCTAGCTGCAGCCCAAGTAAAAGTGCAACAACTTTCAAATCGCCACAATATGCCATTGGTGCTCATCGTATTTTATGCATGTCAATAGGTACTTCATATTGTCATATGATTCTTTCATGTGAACTGCATACCCTACAGGAAGAGGTGGTAAAATATTTCCAATATGCAATAACACTGCCATTAAACTCAATGTTGAACTGTCTATCAACAATCTCCATTCTTCTGGGTTATAGTTTATATTTAAAGCCGCCAGTAAGCCGTTAATGTTACTGCAGAAAACCAAGTTATTCTCCATATTGAAAAATGGTTCTAAATCTTTGTCGCGTTTACGAAAAACACATATCGAAACATCGTCTTCTAACAAGTTCCACTGCTGCTGCAGTCTTGATCCAAGTAACTCTGCCTTACATTTTGGAAGTTCTAAATCTCTTACAAGATCATTTAATTCTGACTGTGTTATTTTGTGCGGTTGGTGGCATGACGTGCTCGGTATAAATCAGGATCTCTTGACGTTGATGGCATATCTTCTTCCTGACGAATCACTCGATCGCCATGATCTGATTCGTTTTCTGATTCGCAAGTGTAGGATTCTGGGGGTTTTGGAATAGGATTTTCGTCACTGTGAGCCACAGGTCTCATCGCAGATGGTATGTTTGGGTAGTTAATAACCGATTTTTTTTTCTTGGACATACCTGTGGCTTGTCCAACACAAGGTACCATGCAAAAGTAACAATCATTAATATGATTTGTTGGCTCTCTCCAAACCATTGGGACAGCAAAGCGCATAGACCGTTTTTTGCCATTAACCAGCTCCTCAGACTTGAAGCACATGTATTACAGCAGATGTGGGGTGCCCACTGTTTGTCTTGATCACCTAGTTTACAACCGAAATAAAGCTGATATGCCTTTGTTATTAGTGGAGTAATAGACTGTCTCTGAGACACAAAAGTCACATCACCACACGTAACAAAACTGATCTGGATTGTTTACACACTTTCGAGACATCTTGCATGAACGCTGTCAGCCAACTGAGGAAAAAATGGCTAATATAAAACAATGTAATGTACACGTATGTATAACGTAACACAATCATGCCGATTACATCATCTTTCCTTGCTGAATATAAAAATGTAGCACGTGCATTCTTGTGAATTACAGTATATTAACACTGTCACAGCAGGAACACATATAATTACCGTATCTATAAAACTTGAACTAATATTGAAAAAATAAGTTTCATTCCGGTTTTAGCACATTAAAAATAGTAATTTTTGTTGATTTTACTTAGGATATTTTTTGGCTGTTGATCAGTGTTATTCCAAGACAATTGAGGAAAATACGGACCTGTACAATCCCGCTTTTGGGCATGTTGTGTTTTGCCTGGGCGTAGGACAGAGGAAACATTTAACTAAATGCTGATATGGATAACGATTTTTTAATACATTTTTACGTTAGTGCTTATCATGTCGTCGCAATACAGTTCAAACATTTGTGTTCGAAATGTCGGTAACCATTACACATAAGATAGTGTTGAGAAAAATAATGCTAGGTTCACAATTTGGAATTTATTTCAGATTCGGTAATATGGTATGGGTTATTTTACTTTCTGGCATGTGATTTCAAACGAAATCTCGTACCTTTCATGCTATAGACTATGTTGGAAAGAAGAATCATCCTCCACCAAGACAATGCAAGCTCGCACACAGACCAAAAACAAGGCAGTATTTAACGGAAGAAAACGTGGAATTATTGGACTATCCTCCATATAGTCCCGATCTAAGTCCTAACGATTTCTTTACTTTCCCGAAAATTAAAAAACAGACTGCGTGGTCAAAGGTTCTATACTCTAGGCGCTGAAGAAAGAAACTAAACCCAAACAAATACACGCATATTGCTCGTGAGTGAGTGTTTAGGCGCAGGAGACATTACAGGACCGCATCAAGATATTATGGGTAGTCATCAAAAATTTCATACAAGATAATTATTATCTTTTACAGTAAATTTCAGTTAGAGATTCACAAATGAGTTAACTACACTTTTTAGTTATTAGTAAGTAAGCTGCGCGCACTCATTCAGAAGAGGAACTTGAATCTTCTGAATCGTTTAAATGAATTATTAGAGGTTCAATTTGGGTATCGATGACATTGTCCAAATCCCACATTTTGACCTCAACCTTCTCCCGAACGTGGCGGATACAGTTTTTCCATTCCTCTGCCGTAACTCTATTGACTGCGATGTGAAAGAGATTTTTAACATCAGAAAATTTATAAGTATTATTATTCGACGCCACGTATTGCTTTATGTTGGCCCAAATCAGCTCAATAGGGTTCAGCTCACAATGGTAGGGTGGCAGTCTCAAGACAGTTTTATTTTTTTTTTTTGGCCATTTCGTCGATCATTTTAAAATCGTATTTGTATTTATGTCTATTGACTATACTTATCAATTCACCCTTGACCATTGTTTCATCAAAATCGATCTGTTTTGAGGCCAGCCATTGTTGTATGTTTGCTTTTTTAGTTGCCATTGTGGGAATTTTTTCTATTTTTCTAGAATGGTACGGGGCATTATCCAGTACAATAACAGCGTTATTCTCCAGCTTTAGTAACATTTTGGAGAACCAATTTTCAAAGGAATTGCCGTCCATCTCCTCATGATAGTCCCCTGTCTTTTTTGATTCAAAGGCCCACAGTGCTTCGGGAACAAAGCCGTCTTCACTACCTACGTGACAAATGATCAGCCGTTTGCCTTTTCCTGGAAATAAATTATTCCTTACACTATGGATTGATTAAATTTGAAGGAATGAGGCAATTGAGTTCATTTAGCTGAATTTAAGAGTCACGGAATGCTGATCAAAAACTGAAAAACGTAGAAAATTGAAGTTTGCAACTTCTCAAAACCCATTCAAAGCAAATTGACTGCACCCAAAAATGATAATAAATTTCAAAATAACGCTTAAAAGAGGGTCGAAGTTTTTTTCCTAATGACTACACTGCGAATGCACCATTTTTGGAGAATATCACACATTATCTGCTATCACAGCATATTATTTGCCCGAATTTATCAAAATTAAATTGCCGGATAGATGAAGGAGCTTACCTGCAGGATTTTTCAATCCAGCCGAAAGACCGTCTAGAAAAGCCTGCCTTGATGATGTTACTGATTTGTCGACCCAAACTTTCGCTTGAGTATGTCCAGCATTCACCCACGTTTCGTCCAAATAGTAAATTTTTCTTTTTTCATCGCGAAACTTCCGAATCTTCCTAAGGTATTCCCTTCTCCACACAACAATTTCTTCTTTCTCTATTAACATACTGTTTCTTCCCCGTTTCAAGAATCGAAAATTAAGTTCCTTCAAAAGTTTTCGGAATGTGGTTCTTTTAAATGATGGAAGATCCTCATCAGCATTAACTAATCTTAATATCTTATCTACTGTAGGTATCTCATTTCGGAAGAAAAAATTATGCACTTTCCTCCTGATGGCAGTTCTGTCAAAGTCATCTACTCCGTCCGTTATCCTTTTTCTTGCAGGATACGGTTTTGGCTCAGAAAGTGAGTGAGTGCTCCTATATTCCTTAATGATCCTATAAACACTGGACTACTCCAGAAATATGTGCTACCTTACATATAACTTCGTCCACGACCAAATCGGGTTTTTCTTGAATTTGGTTTTTGTATATATTTAATATTATTTGTTTTTCATTTGCACTTAAATGTAGCTTCTTAGCCCTTTTTTTGGGTGGGGTTGCGCTGATGTCAACCACTTCGTCGGCTGTATCTGTGTCAGACATCGTATCTTAGGCAATATATAAACAAAACGTTCCACTCGCGAAAAACGAGTATACGCTACTGAATGCGTAATGCGTATGCAATGCAATCCTGTGCGTGAATTAACTGTTAGATGCCTGTCGTGTCATCTACAATCACGTTTACAAGTCCAAACCTGTGCAGATTCGTAGAGCGCCGACGACTGCTAGTGACCTTGAATTTGTCTGTAGATCGATGTTACTCCAGTCAATTTAGGTTCAAAGTGGATGTTTTCTAAACCAATTTGTTGTTCCTACATCAAAATATATCGATGATGTTTTGTACTGGGAGCTCATGAAAGATCAAGGTAACTTATTTTAACAGTCATCCTTTTTCTAGTCTCAAGATGACACGAAAAAGGGTCTGTGGATTCACTAGAAATACACTGCCGAGGATGTTTAGACCTAAAGTGACTGGAGTATATCCGTGGATGCTTTCGAGGGATCTGTTCACGTGCTGATCACTGTTTACGTTTAATGTCTTTCTTCAGCGCCCAGTGTTTAGTCACCAGAAGAAGCAGTTCACGCATTCAAAAATGCCGTGCATTAATCTTCGTGGAGAATACTTCGAAAAACAAGAAAGTCATTTAAAAACTACCTACCGCGTTGTTTTATTTCCATATGCAAAACTCAAAAGACATCCCTCGTATGTGAATGCGTTTGAAAGAAAGAACTTTAATTTTTTTGGACACCCTAATGTACATCACTTATTTATCCAGCAAGTTATGGTTATTTTAAGATTAATATTATGACTCTTTTTCTTTCAGGTTTATGATCCTCGCCACCATGCTAACAGTCCTAGTGATATACAGGGTAATAATAATCACGTGTCCAAAAGTCAGGCCGAGAATACTCCATGCCAAACACAGAAGCATTCCAATAGAAGTCTGCAGAGCTTTATGTCGGAAAGTAGAGATGGGTGACTGGTGGATCCTATTGATGCTCGGCACTAATATGGACCCGATCATCTACAGGGAAATCATCTCGGAGTTAGCCAAGAAGATCGATACAAGTAATAATCACTAGCTGTGTAAATCAAGGATGTGCGGTACATTCAGCTAGAATTTACGATCCTCTTACCTCACGAAGTTAGGCGTCTGGGAAATCAGATGTTGTTTAAACACTTGCAATTCTCCAAAACTGGAATCATTTCTTGCCCCTTCAGAAGGTAAAATGCAAAACAAGGGCGATTCAACACTCGTTCCATTGTAGGATGCACAGCTATTCGTTGTGACGGATTTTGCAAAAGTCAGTTTGAAGCCAATATATTAATTATTTTAACATGTCTATATTCATATATAAGACAAGCAATAATAATTTTTCAAAGTTCTTACGACTCTTGGCATATCCAAACTTTATGACGCCTATACAAGTTTAGGGAATTGAAAATAGGTACTTGAGTGAATATAGCTACAGTAGCAGGTTGTATAATTTTATATTTCGAAAGGATGACTAGCGGTGATATCCTATATAAGTTCAAATTTTGTGTTCAAAAATATCTACGTAGAATTTGAATGAACCTTTAATCCCGAAAATATTTCACAGCCTCATGTCGCAATACTACTTTTGCAGAGACAGGTATTATATGTATACGAGAGATTTTCGGTATAGTGTACCGCACATTCCTGTAAGTGCAAGTAACAATCTCGAATGAACAAGATACTGCCATAACAGCTCAAATTATTATAAAAATGATATGTTCCCTTTGAAATGTCCACACCTACATCTTGGTGTAACAGGTAGAATTTTCCTATGGTTCACTGTTTGAACCATGGCGCTTTTTCTTAAACTGCATATTTTCGCGAAAAAAAAAAAAACGTTACAAAAAGAGGATTTTGAATTTTGGGAAAACAAACTCTAATCGATGGTTAGACGTCTGTCTCCATGGCATTCCTTACAGTACTCAAGTTTCATAAATAAAAGTGAAACCATTAAGAGTTGTGGCATCTAGGTGGCACGTCCCTTTTTTAGATCTTTGTTCTAAATCCTTTTCATCTGATAATGTCATGGTGAGTATGGAGATGACTAAAAAACAATGTTTTCATTTTTTGTGCATCTTATTGTGCATTTTTCTTCAATCGGAACTTGTTAACAAATATAAGTACAGCTCTGAAATTGTGTGTGAATATTCCTTTTTATGGAAGAATGAAACAAGTGATTACTTTTGTTCTTAGCCCTTTTCCTTTTCGAAGAAACTTTGATTTTCTCGCAGCAAGTTGGGTTTTCAAGAGAAGCAAAGGTTTTTCGAAAAGAGAAAGTGGTAAGAATGAAAGTAACCACTTGTGTCATCCATCCATAAAAGTGGAATGTTCACATACAATTTCAGAGCTGTACTAATGTTTGTTAACAAGTTACGATCGAAGAAAAAATCCACAAAGAGCTATGACTTCAAGCAATAGAATACATATCCAAAATTTTCTGACGTGAAAAATATTTTTTTGATTTATTTTCAACTACCTATTGCAGCAGTATTCTAAATCCTTTTCATCTGATAATTTCATGGTGAGTATAGAGATGACTAAAAAGCAATGTATTCATGTTTTTTGTCAAAAAATACATTTTTCGTGCATCTTATTGGCATTTTTCCTTCAATCTGAACTTGTTTACAAATATAAGTACAGATCTGAAATTGTGTGTGAATATTCCTATTTTAGGAAGAATGAAACAAGTGATTACTTTTGTTTTTAGCACTTTTCCTTTTAGAAAAAGCTTTGATTTTCTCGCAGCAAGTTGGGTTTTCAAGAGAAGCAAAGGTTTTCGGAAAGAGAAAGTGATAAGAATGAAAGTAACCACTTGTGTCATCCATCCATAAAAGTGGAATGTTCACATACAATTTCAGAGCTGTACTAATGTTTGTTAACAAGTTACGATCGAAGAAAAATCCACAATAAAATGCGCAAAAAATACATTTTATGACAAAAAAAAATGAAAACGATGTTTTTTAGTCATCTCTATACAAAAAGCGAAAAAGAGACGTGCGGCATTAAAGGGTAAATTTCATTCTTCATAAAAA